TCTCTGCCTTGGAGGCTTGGCGTAGCCTTCGTTTTGCCTCGCAAATATAAAAAGGGCTGAGCAGACACGTGGTTAGTAACTTTGTCAGCGTTTTTAATCCCGCCTCTTATCCCGTCTCTGGTTTCGCTTGTCTCGCTTCGGCCCTCTTCTCCGCCCTCTGTTTCACTCGTACGTTGAACAAACGCGTGGGCGTACACTTACGCGTACCCCTTTTTTTATTTTTGTTCGCTCTTTTCGAGTTTCGACGCGCAGCCGTGGTCTGTGTACTCTGCGAAACCAGCCATTGTATCAATTACGTGCGTTCGCGTCTCGCTCGCCGGGATTTAGTAGCTTCATCAATGAAATTGATTCGTTTGATCCGTACCCGACGCGAGTACACACGCCGAGTGTCGACGGTGATAGCTCCAACGGCAGTTATCGAGCATATGTTCCGACGATTTGCACGTAACTCCGTTCCACCTGTTCCGACTTCGTGTATCGTGAAAAATTTATTCCGGAATATCGCGACTCGCGCCGTTCCGAACGATTCAAGAACGAACGGACTACGAGGCTGACAACGATGATGCTGGAGTTTGCTAGTATTGAATAATCTATGGTGCTTTAAACGATCTGGTTGTTGGGCTAATTGGTAGAAATATTTGACTCTATTTTGTTTTTATATTTAAATACACTTAATCGATGGCCAATTCCCTTTTGTTTACTCCACGTGATCGTGAATTTCCCTGCTATTAATAGAATACTTTCTTTTCACTTAGCTACTGACTCGAATCCATCAAGGAAATAATAAAACCCCCACCCAGTTACATAGGAGGCCTGGACGCGTGTCAACAACCACTACCAGAACGCCTTCGTAGGTGCGTGCAAACACGTATCAAAATACTGTGACGCTTTTTGGGGGGGACACATATTGCTCGACCTATCCCACGCGCTACTCTTCCATTATAGCTCGTCGCTTAATTGAGTCCATAAACAGTACGATTATTATTCGATATTAAGGAACGAATTATAGAGATGAATCTGTGAAATATGTGTTTAAAACAGGAGTTGTAATGTAGAACGACTGATCGATAAGGCAGGTTGCTCTGTTAGTAACATCATAGAGCATTCCGTCGATAAATCCTTTGATCGTACAGGGCTCTACATTGCCGAGTCTTACTGACAGAGTGCACTACGTTGTCGGCAGAGTGCTATCTATACCTTGCCCATCAATACTTTATCATTTGTGCAACATTATTGCAAAGGGACACTCTTTCAAAACTATATATCTTCGGCTTTTGAATGCAAAAATATACTGTTTTTATATATAAAGGGAACTAGTGAGTAAAGGATGAAACTAGTTCCCAGACGGGGTGAGGGTCGAGCTTCGCGCGACATCAATCTTTGAACTTGGAAGCACACCGCGACGAATAACATGTTTTAAAGATGCGAAGATTCCGACTGTTCGATAGTGGAACCTCTATTGACTCAGGGTGAGTAACAGCAAACAAATAGGATAGAAAACTGGTTATCCAGCAGCTTCCACTTTAGACATTAAACAAACTTCGAGAAACAGAGATGGAGAGAGACATGAAAATGGTAAATGCAAAATAAACCATCGCACGTCTACGATAAACTAGACAGATCAGATATATCGTCTTGGAGAAGTGATAGAATCGTCATTCTTAAAACACGCGCATCCTAAAAAATCCTTAGGTATCCAGAAAGAATTACAAAGATCGACCAACGTCAGGATAACCCAAACGACATATTTCAGAGGTGAAACCAATGTTACCCAGCAACTAAACCAGTAAGAAATTCGTCTTCCTCTTCCATTTCCGCAACTCCATTAGAAACCATAAGTACACGCCGCCTGTAATACGATCAAATAATTCCCGGTGGATGATAAAAAAGAAAAACACCTTCCACATCCCCGCCCCCCTTCACCCCCCCCCCCCCGTATTGGAGAGTTTCCAGGGTATCGGAAAGGCTGCCATTCGCTCGTATACCCGCGCAAGCAACGCGCGTTAACGCTTCGCGAACGACGCAGGGGCGTTAAGGGAGAGAGCAGCGGAGAGGGGCGGCAGTGTAGGAGGGGGTGGCCCCGCAAAATAAACTTAGACATGTTTGCCGAGCAATCAAATATATGAGTGGAAAGTCTCGCAGGCGTTATCGATTGGTTCGAATCGGCTGTGGCGGCATAGGGGCGAAGAGGAAAGAGAGAACATTGGAACGCGGGGGCGGCGGTGGGCAGGGGGTCGACGGAGGGTTCGAGACGAAATGGGAACAGGGGAGAGATCCACCAACTATATAGTCCACATCGTTGGCGGCGGAGGGCCGAGCGGTTTGTCCAGTGTTTGTTGTTCGCCGTTGTTCAAGGGGCCAAACATAGTTTTCGAGCCGACGAGAAGGAGCCGCTGGAACAGACACACGTACACTCACAAACGCACACCAACTACCAGTTCACGCGCACAGAGCACGAGCTCTGTATACCGACGCTCGCTACGTGTGGGTGCCGAAGTGTACATGTACGTGCGTCGACGCGAGAAAGGGAACGCATACACGAACACGTTCTCACACAAGTCCGCGTAAAAGTCCGCGTACAAGTACACTTACACGAACCCGAGCCAGGGGTACGCAAGCACGCGAACTTTCGAGAAATTCGACTCTTTTATTTCCGCGCGCCCCCGCCCCACGAAGCAAGGATCGGAGGGGAAAAATCTCAGGAGCGCATCCTCTTCGAGAGAGATTTCGTCCGCGCGAAAAGCAACGGACGGGGTCGAACTAGAACGCCTTGGAAGCTCGGACAAATTCTTACGATGTCGGCGAACGACAGGGGTCGAATCGCATGAAAATCTGGCCCACGTACCTACGCCCTGGAATCGCTTTCGCCGCCAACTTTCAACGTCCTCCCGCCATTCTTCTCGCAAATTCCTACGCGAAACGCGACCCCCTAGGGAACGGTTAGGCAGCGGGCAATTTTATGCCTGACGAAACTGAAATTTGATGGTATCGACAGCTCCGCGATTATTAGCTAGTTCGCCGGCTTTGCCATCGACCATCGAAGTCTTTGGGGCAAATTACTATCGAGGAGCTTGGAAAGAAAACAATTTTTCTTCTTTTTTTTTTGTGTCTGCTTTACATAGACTACTAGATTGATGGAGACTATTTTTCAACATAAAAGTTTTTTTTATAAATATGTAAATGAATAAACCTTACGCTTATGTGTATCTATAATGAAGAATTTATTTGCAAACGTCAAATCTATGGTTTAATTTCGACAAATGTTTTCAACAAAGATAGAGGGTACGAATACTTATGGGACTGACTGTATGTGAAAATAATTTTTCTTGCTCCATAAGATACAAGCAACCATGCAATTATCAAGCTTGGTTTTGTTTTAAAATAGTGTGGATAATAAACGAATCTTTCTAAAAAAAATGTTATTCCACATTTTCGATTGACTTTTGCACAAAGTGTACCTCGACGCTGGATTCTGCACGGTTAACACGGAAACGAAAATGTCTACAAATTTTCGACCATGTCGAAACGGATCGCGAAGTTTCAGAAGTCGAAGTATCGATTACCAGTCTAAAATTGTCTTCCAACCCCCCGGCGCCATTCGAATAACGATTGGAATTTAAAAGGTAGACATTGAAGTGTAGAATCGCGAAGAGACTTCGAAAAGGTCCAGGGGCTGAAACAGAGATAGGGAAGACGTTATCGTGTCATACTCCAGCAGGTAAGAGGGTAAAAGTGCCCTCTTTTCGCCCCAATTCCCTTCAGTCCTGCCCCCAGCCTATCCCCGGCACATAGCAATCGAAACTCATTTATATTTCTGGACCCGTTTAAGCGTATCAATTTTAAAGCTCCACTCATGAATCACTAATTTTCCTAAATATTAAACTTCGATTTTATACCTTTTCGTGATATTACAGTTGTTAAATTTGCGATTATTATTATATCGCCTTGTCACATCTACCTTCGTTATTCGAATGGTAACATTTTGATTTTCTAGAAAGTAACATTACAATTTTAAAGCTTGACTCCAGAATACCTAATTTTCATAAATTGTTAAACCTCGATCTCGCTTCCGTTACGACTATTAAATTTGCAATTATTATTGTACGTATTACTTCCTACAGAGGGCAACCAAAGCTTCCGAATAAAATCTCAAAATTGCCAACATATTACTAATCAAATAACCAAATACATGGTGCTATTCGTGCGCTCATACCGAGTCCACTAAAATATTAATTTCACCGAGTAAAATTAATAACCACTGGCCATCCATTCGGACCATTAAACGGCGCTCGGTATCTAGTCCATAAAGATTCACTTGAACAGAAATTATTTTCCAAGCGCCGGAACAGAGAGGTCTGGATTATTTTACGAGCGTGGCTAGATAGAAGTAATTTTTCAGGATCGTTCGTTCACCGTGATACGCATCGTTATTGCTCTAAACCAGGAATGGTGTTCCGGATTACGGAGCGTTTCTCCGTTCGTGGTAAACATCTTTTATTAAGTGCACGTTGCGCTCCACTGGCGCGTCAATTTTTCAAAGCACCCTCGAGTTCTTTGTCTTCGTGTCTCTATCTGACTATAACGATAAGCGCGCGTGACAAAGAGTAGGGGCGTTTAATCGTTCCATCATCGCTGGGGACGGTCTCGACTCTCCACGACAATGGCGGAAACGGAATTCCTTTTATTCCACCCCCTTCGCCAAGTTAAAACGATTCTCGCGTCTTTGGAATATCGAACTGCAACGCGTAAAGTTTCGTACGGGAAAGTGAACCGAAGGCTGACGCCTCTGAGGATCGTAGAATCGGAGGACAATACATAGATCGATACGGAAGCGAATGATAATCTTTGAAAATTGCCATTGTTAAGATTCGATTAATGTATGACGATAAGAAAATATAAAAATAACTCGGAATTACGAACTTTTCAATACAAACTATTTTTAATGAATCCTCGATTGAGGGAAAGCACAATTATTAACGAAGTATTTCTTTTGATTTCAGGCTGTGCATTCGTAAAACTTTCGTCACATCAAGAAGCGCTAGCGGCAATCAATTCCTTACACGGTAGCCAAACTATGCCGGTAAGTGGCTTTATATTACCTCTCTGTACACCTAAACACTAGAAGAATCGATATATCGAGAATAAAACTACGAAAAATAAATTCTCTAAACGGTGAGAATGTATAGCACACTGTTACGTTAAGCCGTAAAATTCTGTTTTTTTCGGTAGACACTCGAAAGGCACATAAACAACTTTCTATTGCTGACTAATCCATTACGTAAATTCAGTTGTTTTCTGTTATTCTTTCCCATTCTTCTTCCAGATTTTCTATCCTAGTTTCATAACATTCTCTTCATTCTTTCACCTAGTGCAATGTTTATATTAAAATATATAGCGTTATCCTCGCGTTGTTCATCCAAATAAATGTACAGTTAAAAAAACGAACAGTTAAAAATTCGACAATAAAAATTTTCCAAGTAAAACTAACTAATGGCTCACAATAAAATTTCTAGTCACTGTTTAATTTCCATTTATTCTGTAATTATTATTAAGATTAGTTCTAGTTAGCCTACAGTCTCAAATAACATATGAACAATAGAAATAGAACTATTAAATAGTTATTCCACAGCATTTCTACTCTCGCCAATGTTATTTAAAAATTTACAGATATTAGTGTCTGTTTCTTATACCCATTTAGAGGAAGCATGTTAAATTTCAAGCTCTAGCTACCGTCACGTCGACCGACATGTGTGTTAAATGATCCAGGCGACTAACAAATTAGCAAGAGAAAGAAAACAGAAATAAATGCGCATAGAATTAACATGGCAAATGGAGCCGAGAATAATACAAACGACGAGGCTCGCCCATGGATGGTCACTCCTCCGTAGCAGTTAAAGCGTCCAAGGGGTAGACACAGCCGTAGTAATGACTGTCGTGCTTGTAAATACCCTGCGCCTGCAATCTAATGACTGGCCAAACAGAAATCTGCATAACACTTGGAGAAGTGTGGGTCGCCTCCTTCTTCTTCGTCGTATCTCCCCTCGGCCCCGCGTCAAACCGCCAAACTTTCTCGGTTTAGGGTCGGACCACGAATTCCCAGTTGTAATTGAATTGTCAGTGTGTTCCGTTCGGGATTCCACCTGCTGATTGGCGAAAGTTCGTAAAGCCGCTTCCCGAACTTGACCATACTGCGTCCGTCTTCCACCACCGTCGTTGTTGTTTAGGATTGCTAAAATGTCCCTGCGACGAGAGAAGCGATTTCTCTGCTTCTCTTGACAATTAAAAATTTTGCGGAGGAAGCACCAAGAGTACCTGACGCTGAATAATACCTAGAATATTTTAGGTCCGAGGACCACTGGACTAGTTATCCTTTTTCCACAAATCTTCAAGTGTCACAGAAATCATTCATTAACACTTCACACAGGGGTTGCAAAGAAACAAATGCATCGAAGCTCGATGAACAATGAAACCCCATACACAACCGATACTGTCCGACACATTCGACAATTTTTTCGATATCCATCGTCACCGGGGACGAATAAAGGAAGACAATCGTGTATTTTCCAATGTCAACGAGGAATTCTTGTTCCTGTTCGCGTCACGAATCAGTCGCGTGTGCAAAATCACGAATTGCGTCAACCTAAAGGGTGTGGCGGGAACATGATGGGAGGGGAGGTTGTTACGCGAATATTACTCGTTATAACGCTCTAATCCAATAGCGAGAGGCTGCGGGGTAGAAATCGTGGGCACAGTAGAGAAACTTCAGAATCGTGCCAGGGACCATTTGCCCTTAAAAGAGAAACTGACATGACGCGGAACGTAATATGCAGATCGCTTAATTATCACAACGAATTATGCAAATTTTGACGCGAACGTTACGAGATTTCGTTGCGTCGCATTGGGCACTCCGAGGGTGCGGAAACGTAGGACGGAAACGAGTCACGCAGTTTGCCCTTTCATTAGGACCAGTCTGGATTTGTTAGCCCCCGAAGAAGCGTTAATAATTGTCAAAACCCATGTGACCGTAAAACCTATTAAATCCCTTTCGTGTTTGGTTATTTTTTAGACTTGCAAACGTCCGTGCATCACGCAGAGTAGCGATGTACTCAAAGAAAAAGAGAGAAAATTATCTTACAAAATTTTTCGAATGTGCTCTATATCATCCTCTGAAAGCAATCCAAAGTTATTAAAAATCTATTCAAAGTTAAATCTACATTCTTGACTAGCTCGAAAATTGGTAAGCGGGTTTATTCAAGTCCTGCCACTACTTCAGAGTTCTCTCTGCTAGCTGGCAAGCCGCTTTACCCGTTGCAGCGCCGCCGACCCTCGTTATCTTGGTCTTCCGGAGTCCTTTTCTTGTTCTGAGGGCTCCGATCCCACATTAGCGATGCCAGTTTAAGTCAATTTATCCTTAAACGAACATTTAATAAAGCTAATTGGGCCCCGCGAAAAGATCTTTCATCAACACATCTCTAAAATTCTATCATCCTGACGAATCTAACGAGGTTCGTTCCATAATTCGAATAATTTCATCTTGCTACTGCCAAAGAATAATTTGAATAATTTAAACAAATTAGCACGGCTCGTATACAAAGCTCGCGAGCATCTACTATCCCCACCACTCTATGACACGAAATACACTAAAATCGCCGTAATGCATAACTCCTAGAACCAACCCTACAAAGGACTATAATAAACCTCCAACGGATCTAATTTCAAACAATATAAAATCGAGTAAAAATTATAAAATAAATTCCTTGGACTCAATCACAAGCTGGCTACCAAGCTCTCGTGTTCACAGCGAAAGAAAGATGCACTGTCTAAAATCCCAACATTATTTCTCCATACGTGCGATACGTCGAGCGCTGAACCGTCCAAATATTTTCCGTATTCGGTATCCAGGCGAAACGTTCGCCAGGGAGTTGCTTGCATAAGGGGTGAGCGATTAAGTGGTACGACGGTGGCGTATATACTGGGGATGCTTCAGGGTACACGGTAACCGGCCGCAGGACGAAAACGCTCGGCTCGAGAAAGGTCCTTGTGATGATTAAGGCCTGTTAAACCGAGGGATGCGCGTATTGCGTCGGAACCTAGCAGATATGAGGGATCCGCCCGAGTATTCCGAGGACTCTCCAGCATCGAAGGAGAAGGAACAAGGGCAGACAGAGGGAACGTAACGGAGGAAAATCTCGAGTCTCGTCCTTGTCGAACGTGAACGGTTCTCTACCTATAGATCCTCGGAGGTTACAGATCCTCCCCGTCTTCGAAGCATCCGAAGCCCCCGTTTTCCTTCGTCGACAGACGCGATAACGGAACAGCACGAACAACTCGTCGAATACACGGGGATCGAGCACGAGGAAGTAGAAACCCCAACAAGCTCTCCTACTCCCCCCCCCCCTCCACCCCCTGCCGTTCCTGTCCCGTCGAGCAAAGATTTCAGCGCTTAAAAACTTCTTCAAACCGATAAGTTCGGTTCCTGAGGAGCGTCGGGCGTTTTTCAAATGCAAACGAGCGAAACTAAAACGAGAACGCGGCCAATTCGACGATCCGACCAAACGTTTTTGCCGGTCTGGTTGCGTAAAAATTTTCAAACCATTTCGCTTTACTGCGTTCTAAAACTGCATTCGGAGAGCAACAACGATCGGACACGATTAAACGTACGAAAACATTTTACGAGGCCCCGATGTTATAGTTTTCGGTCTACCCGCGCATCTAGAACAGTTTAGTGCCACTTTATGCTCCGTTCAGAGTTTATTATCGTTATACACACCCCTGCCCCTGAGGCGTTGCTGCTTTCCTATCGTCGAACTTGATGCTGTAATCAAACATGCGCCCGACTAGTATGGTTTTTATCGGACGCTAACGGTGGGAAGACCAGAGAATTCGCTACGTTTTGGGTGTACCTGCAAGATTTATCGAAAGGGGGTGTAAGGAACGGTCAATTTTGGTAAAACACGAGATAAAAATATAATGCTAGAATTGTTGATACGATTTCAAAGTAATCATTGAATTTTTAACCTACCTCGCAAACAATAAAAATGAATGTACAATATGTGTGATACGAGCCATCAATTATAGCGTAAAAAAAACTTAAACATAAACTACAATACTCTATACGATAAATAATTTCATACATTATCTTTATGTATGCATAATCGTTATTGCACAGTCTACTACTCTTGTTTTTACAATATTCTTTACGCACGTTTAGAGTTGTAAACACTGCCGTTCCCCTATCACGAGAGAAACAGCAACTTTATACGAGTCAAGTTCTGCAAAGATTTTTCACTTGGAATTTATGAACTGTGTAATGTGATTCATGTGCTACTCGAATGAAGCCACCATCCCCGCGCTACGTAACTGAACCTGCAACATATTCACGGTAATTGCGACTCGTTTTTCTCGGTATTAGAGTTGTAAATTTCCAACAACGAACAATGAGGAAATAGTGCTCTTTATTTACAAGGATTCATTATACTCGAACCAAAATAAGTAATAGAAAGATGGACTCGCGAATGTAATTATATAAAAGAAAACTTATTTATCGAACATTATTAATAGTATTTACGTCAAGCTCAACACATTTATTTATGCACACCCGAGGAAAACATATTATCATATAGAAATCGAAGAATAATAATTGGGTTTCCAAAAGTGGCTTCAGGATCTTATTTTCTAATGATAAAATTCGCTTGCATATTTTTTAATTCCACTGCGTCGAAACAGTAAAAATGCATAGAGTCGCGTTCAATATGAGTGCAGCTATAGTCAAGGGTGCAATTAAAAAAAAATATTGGACATTTTTCAAGCGACGACGCTTTGAAGAAAAATAACGAACTTTTACGGAAAAAGTGAAACGTTTTTTTAGAGGGAAAAAAAGCAATTGCACGTGTGGTGCTGGTTTTAGCCTCGACGACGAAGGTACATTTGGTTTGTGTGTGCGTCAAATGACGCGAAGATCGACTCATCGGAGTTCCTAGAGACGTCAGAGCTTGGAAAAAAGTTGTTTTGAGGCAAACGACTCCAAAGTTTTTACGTTCACGTTTTCAGACATGTAATGCATTTTTTCCGTTCTATTTA